CTATAAGTTTCGTAATTTTGCGTAATATATTTCGTAATTTTACGTTATTTATTGCGCAATATTTCGCAACTTTTTGCACAATATTATGTCCAGACCGTAATTATTGCACAATATTTTGGGCCGTAATAACTTATGTAAAATTACGTTAATATATTTCGCTGATGTAGGAGCTCTGACAGCATTATCAAGCTCACTTCAAACGAATGTTACATTAAAACATTTAAAATTATATATAGTCTAGAAATGGGTGGCGTGCCCTATATACAAGACTGTACCTCTATCCCCGGAGAATATAGAAATTATTGTTTAAAATGCTGGAAAAGCAAAGATCATACTGGCCCGGCCCACAAAAGTTTGTCCCTCTTCTGCCGTTTACTAGGTAAATATCAAGTTTCAATGTAAAAATTGGGGGAGAGACATAGATCTGAATTTTGATCTACAGTGTTTCTATAAAACAAAATAACAAATAATTATGAATTTATATTAAATAGACCGGTCGGTAGTCGACGAACTCAGTGGGGCACTGGGAAGTTTCCCTCACTATACTGTCGGTGTTATAGTAATACCGTACAAGTATAGGGAGGGATTTCGAAAATATTCATCGAAAATCAAATCGTATACATGGGCGCACCTTCCACAAGAGGGAGGAAGTTTGAACTGCACATTGTAGCAATTTTAATAGCAGCGAGTATATGGTGTATTCATACAGGGTTAGTTTTTACTGAGTTAATTGTATTCTGAAGTTACACTGTCACTATCGATGTAAAATATCTGGAAGGAAAGATCTTTTGGTCAACAGTTTCGGCTATTGAACATTCCTATAGTTATCGACGTCCCGCAATACATTTGATCAAATATTTGATTCAAATTCAAATTTTGATTTGATTTTGCGGAGTACTAAATAGAATATATAACTAATATTCGTGGCTGATTTTTTGATAATCATAGTTGTAAACGAAAAACACATTATTCTAACTATTTATTATTATAGAGGGTGCAACGACAAGGGCATCGACATAGTTGCCGAATATCTAGGTGTCCCACTGAGGATTCAATATAAAAATCGGGAGATTGACATAGGTCTGAATTTTAATCTACAGTGTTTTAAACATTAATCTATGAAACAAAATAACAAATAATTATGAATTTACATTAAATAGGCCGGTCGACAGTCGACGAACTCAGTGGGGCACCAGGAAGTTTCTCTCACTATACTGTCGGTATTATAGTAGTACCGTACAAGTATAGGGAGGGAGGAATGCTAAAATTTACGAGAGGTGCCATGGATGCGGTGAGAAAGTCGGCATATGACATAATTCTCACCGACCGGCAAGACATAATTGCCGATATTAAAAAGTTTATTGTTAATAGATTTATTTGTTATTTCTGTTTTTTAATTTCTTTTTTTTTTTCTTCTTCTATAATTTATTTGTTTTTTATCTGTAACTTTTTTCCTTCTCTTTCTACTCTTTATATTCATTATTTTTTGTTTTCTTTTTTTATTTTTCTTTATAAATACATTCTGTAAATAAAATTTCTTTAGAATTGTTCTGAACTGGCTTTTGCCCTCCGTGTTGTCAGCAAACTAGTTGTGAATAATTGGCCATAATTACAGAATTATAGCAAGAGTAAATTTATTCCTCACGCAGAGTGAACTCACCCCTAAGATTATCCAATAAACATGCAAGAAACGTCAAGATCAGGTGTAATATGTAGACCATCTTTGTGTAACAAAACAAAGAAATTTTTTAAAAAATCGCCAATAGTGCAATATTTTGCTTATAAAACCACTCTTCGGTCTAGCAAAAAAGATTCCTTGCATAATTTTGCATACATTACCCTGCTAATATCCGAGCTTAGGATGTTTTTTGTGAGAGGTTGAATAATTCACCTGGGTAATGAATAAATTATTTCTTATAGGAATTATGTTCTGCTAGATTCTCAATCAGCAATAATACCAATCATAATGATACAATTTTCTAGACCATAAGTTTTCGATTGAATATTGGAAACTTACTTTTGAAATATGTACGTATGTACTTTTGTAATTAAAATCATCGTGTTATATAAATTTTTTTGTATACAACAAACTTTAACGACTGATTCTTTATTATTGATTTTTAACGAGAGATATAATAAGTTACAAATGGTTAAAAAACTAAATGAGAAATGAAATTTTATCTGCTTTAATAACATCGGAAACTTAAATAATATATGGGCTAAGTGCTACAAAAGAGAGAAATCGACAAATTTCAAAAATTTCATTTTTTACACAAATCAATTTAGAATAATATCAGGATTATTTTTTAAAGTTTGTATTTTCTTAACATAATCGATCTTCCGAAGATCTTTTGTTTTCGCGGAAAATTCCCGAGATTTTAATTCCCTATTGAGCATAATTTTCGATCGTGATTTTACTTGACATTATGATCTGCAGAGGCCACACCTTTTTTGCAAACCGCTATAACCAATCAAATTGCATAATTTTTAAGTATTCATCGATATATAATTAATGTAGGCGATGACAATATTATAATATCATGTTGACATTTCATATGATATATAATCATATGAATCATATGCCATATGATATAGAATCATATGAATCATATGCCATATGATATAAATTATGTCAAATAGATTTTGTCCGGTACAAAGAAATCCTGATGATAGGTTTCCCTTGGCGGCACTCATATGACACTTCATATGATTTTGTAATTTGACAAATCATATAAGTTATTTCATTTATATGACATAATTGTTTACTATTCATAAACCCAAAACTTATTATGATTAACAAACCCAAGCACACTGTGTAAACAGAACATATTCCCGGACTTTTCTCTATTATCCCTTCAACTGTTTTCCAGGCAAATTTGCCTGGGATTTTGAAAAGTATTTATAATTTATTAAATAAAATTAAAAAATATTAATGATATGGGGTATATTTTATATATACAATAGTATATTTAAAACATAT